CCCACCAAAAGCCGCTTATTTTCATTCATCAATTATTCGGAAACTGTAAGTACGTTGATATTTTCATGGAGGAAAACGGCGATTTCTCAAATCAGCCGTAAGTTCTGGAAAGGATATGCAGCTGTCTTAAGATATTCTGCAGAATAAACTAATGAACGTATTAAAGAAATTCTATTACTATCTGCTTTCTTTAACAATAATAAAAATGAATAATGCAATAAAATAGTACAGTAATATATTTCGGGATCTTTGTTGATAAGAATAATTTACCTATGAAATTATTTGCAATCGGCAATATCATCGATAAACAACCAGGAAACATGTTCGAGATTCTCTCTTCACATGTTTTATACAAATTTTATGTCTTACTATCGCATTATCATCATATTATTATGCATCTGAACTTTGGCAAACACCACGAAGAAATCTCGGAGGGCTTAAGATGCACAGCTATTTCATAATTATTAATATTCACTGTAATATTCAAAGAACGGTCAAAAGTTGACACAAATGCAGCAGTCAAAGATTAACGCAACTCAATTTAATAAAAATTCCCGAAATTACATTCACCGAACGAATTTGGCACGGTACAAAAAAATCCGGCGACGGCGAACGATAAAATTTACTTTTTTGCTGCTAATTCAATCAAACGATTTAGCTCAAATCAGCAGAAATAAATTCGACGGGGCCACTGTTCTCCAGAACGGAATTGCATTAGTTATTGGTGGAACGAATCGCCGACGGCATGCCCGATGAGAATGCGTTATATCAGGCTATCGTTTACGGTACATTTGCTCTCCTTAGCGAACTTCCACCGCTTCAAGTCGAGGCTCGAATATCCCACATTCTATATCCACACCGGAAGAATAATTCAAGCTTCGGCTTGATGTCGGATGCGATCAGCGCGGCGTGGACGCCAATTGCGCCTACCTCAATAACTCACGCCACGGTGGCTTTTCTTAGCGCGCAAGAACTTAGCGCACACTGTGCGCAGAGTGCGCACTTGAACGGCGATGTTGTCGTCGACGCGGTCGCGGAGCTTAACAAAGTTCTTCCGAGTGCTAACGAGCTTACTCCTGGCGAGAGCCGGTCGAGTGTAAGGCTTCTGACGTAGAGAATGATTAACCTACATATCCCGTTCCGAGATATTACTTACATTCCGATCGTACGTAGCTAGACACGCGTCTCGATAATTCAAAGACGGTGAGCGCGAGAAATGCAATATTGCAAACGTTATCGTGGCTTTATACACCAGACATAAATAATTTAGTATTTATTAGCTGAATATAGATACCTCTCACATCAACACGTGACGTCCAGATGCTAACATATAGAACAGTTATCTGATGATGCATACCGTTACTCAAGATTATAAGCGGATAAACAATCCCTAGATAAATAGCATGTAAGAGATAAGAGAAGGTTTATCTTATTTTCTTAAGACTTATGTGAGATTTTAAAAACAGTTTCCGATATAAACTTCTTTTATCGCTCTAAAACAGTCAAGACACGGTTTACATTTCAGTCACTATTTCAATAATACAAAAATCAAACACACTTGTCGTATCTCCACAAGAATGCACTCATTAAATACTTTCTTCGGGCATGAAATAAGAGAAAATTTAAATTACCTTAAAAAGAGTGATATATATTTTATATAAAAGCAAAGCGAACACTCGCAATCGTCCGATAATTGGTTATTGAGAATTCAAGATTGGCCCGATGTAATTTGCGCGGTTCTAAAAATTCCTTAGGATATTCTCCGGAATTTGTGACGCCTAGTGTACACTGCGGGAGATCGTTCAATTTCATCTCGAGCAAACCGACCGGCCGGCCGGCCAACTGTATGTACGTATGTATGTAGCCTGCCCCGTCCCTCGCCCCTACCGTAATTGAATACTCAATAGGATTTACCAAAGCGGGCCGCGGCGCCATGCCGTGGCGTAGCGCGGGCGCGTCGATCGACAGGACACACGCCAATATTTGATCCGCGTCAAAAGCTCCGAGGCGGATCCACCACCAACGGCGGGATTTCCAACGGTCGTTAACCCCCGCGCGCCGGCCGCTGTCTCGCCGCCGCAGCGTGTGATCCTCTCTCTGTCTTCCGGTCGGGTAAACTTCCGAAAAGCCGTCATCCCCGATTTGCCGGAAATTATCGATTGTATCTTTGTTTACGACGAAGAGCGACGCGTACGATCTACAACCGAAAACAACGACCTGTCTGATTTTTCAACAGGTTCCATGTTCGATCTCAAAGTGACAGTCAAAAGTCTCGTTCTGTTATCGTTTTATGCGATAAAACAACGTGAACGTATGTCGTAACATATTGCACGCGCAATAAACATAAATCTTTTTCGCTTTGAGGCATGATCGGAGTGAAAAAGCGTGAAATCGTCGATAAACAATCAAATCTAAATGCATAGTCATAAATCACTTCTTTTTTGAAAATTATTTTTATCAATTTTTTATAACAAAAAAAGTGATAAAATTTACTCCACTTATTGTTAATTGTAAAATGTTCTGTGATAGATGCATTTGCAGCACGTAGTGGATATTTCTTCTTGAAAATTAAAATAATTTTTTGTGATAAAAAAAAGTTGATACGAAAAGTATTTAAGCCATAATTATATCAAATATTATAACGTGCATCAAAAATGCAAATAAAATTAGTTGTAAAATAAAATAAATGTAATAAATGTGTAATTAGTTGTAAAATAGAATTTTATTTTATTTTACAACTAATTACAGCTGAATATTATCAAAAAATATTAAAGGTTTAAAAATAAACAAAAAATATTAACAGTAATAAAAAGAGAATTAAACACGTAAAGCTATTTTTTTCAAAAAGAAGTCTGCACCTTGATCAGATAAAAATACATTCTCAGAGGCGATATTTCGCGTCACACCTGCGTCCGATACGTATCGAAACCTGCATTTAAGCGCCTCTTGCTCGTCCTTTAGCCTCTCGAACACCGCGTGTGTCTATGTTTAGCCTCATCGGTCTATCCGTTTTGGGGTATGTTCGCGCCACGAGACAACCAAATCCACAGGTGCGGTCGAAAGGGTGCTTACATCGCGCGGAAGTGCCTTTGAATAGGTAGTGCAGCCGTTGACAACGCGTGAATACGCCGTCAAAGTCACGTATGAAAGTCGCCGACTATCCGGCGCAGAATGCGACCTCACGAAGGGACATAGAATAGCCCGGGTCGTCGCGATCCAGAGGACACGACAACCATTTCCCGTCGCCGTTACCGTTTCTCACGATTTTTCCACCTTCTGCGGCGTACGAATGAAAATTAAGTCACGGGTTAACCAGCAAGTTGGAGATTGCTCGTGATAAACGGTCGACGAATGGCTAGCATTCTCTTATCTACATTATCCTTCTCCGAGTCTAACTAATTTTTTTCGAGTAGTCACGAGAGAAAGAGAGACTCGAGGAAGACGCTCGTTTCGAATAAATTTAAACGAGGACTTTCCACGCGGATGCCACGAGTTTGGAGCCAGACTATTTCATATCTTGTAACTTTATGAAATATGGAATATAACTGAATTGAAAAGCTTATTTCCATACCGTCTCGAATCCATATTTTTAGAAAATGGAAATTATATATTACGAAGCTGCGAAAGATTCTTAATTCATACAAATTTGAAGGCGTATTCCCTGGTCAACTCAATTGGTTAATCTTTTCGCAACAAAAATTTAGTTCTTCCTTAATTGGTGACTTAGTTTTTCAGTTAAAACTTCGTTAAAACGTGAAATCTAACTTCAAAATAAGAAGAAAAATCTATCTCTGATTTCGTGCTGAGAAAAAAATGACTAAAACGGTGTTGACTGAACGGCGATCGAAGACCGCACTTGCAAATTTTTGCCTACAGCATGACGATGGAGTCATTATAACGCTTTATTTAACGGAATAGAAAATGATTATACCTGCCGTAAGCAATAGTGTGCGATAAATTGGCGGTTGGTTGGCGCGTGAAGTGTGACTATCGACACTCCGACTGATTAATTAGATTAATTTTAATTGAACGCCTATGTATATCCTGAAAGGCTAGCTGCCGTCAATTTAGTAACTCGATAAATCTATAAAATAGCGCGGTGGAAGTGTGGCTACATTTTATTAAATTCCGTCTCGCAAAAGGTCGCTGTGGCGTCGCGTCGCGCCAAATTTTAGTAATGGATCATTATTGAGCCCTGCAGGGAAGGTGCGAATATTGAAATATAGATAATTACTTTTGCCGAGGGCGGTGGGCGCACTATACGATTTCCGCTTTCTGCGTCAACATCGACTATGACTTTTACATTAGCTCATTATTCGGCAAAATAATCTGCATTACGATAAATACGCCCGATCTGTTAATTATCCAAGAGCAATCAGACAGCATTCGAATCTAGTATTGTTACTTTCTCATTTCGCGTATAATTTTTGTGAAGCCCCGGATATTTAATTAGACATCTTTCGCTCCGCGGATTTCCACTGAATGGCTTTGGTGTTAAAATCGAGAATGAAGCAGTAAATTAGCAGCTAAATAGCACTTAATTCTGCGATAGTTTCCAATTCAATTTGCTGTGCGGTGGAGGTGTTAGCTTAACGTAAGTTATCTTGTGGCAGATATTGAGACTAGCGATAATTAACTGTCGGAACGCGTTACCTAATTGTCATTGAAGATTTATATATTGTTGTACTACAAACTATGGAAGATCCAATCGCTTTAAGTATACGTCAAGTTATTACTTTTTTTACGAACCGTTAATCTTTGCACAGCTTCGCAACACATAATCTCCTTTTTTCCAAAAATGTGGATTTAAGATAGCTATGCAAACGCTATTTATGTCAGCTACGTGACTAAGAATATTTTCAAATAAGCAAAATTTAGCATATGAATCACACAGCAATAGCAATAGGTCTAACAATAGATGCGGTTATAAATGGGAACGGAAATACATATTGACTGTTAGCGCACTATAATAGACGAATTCTTGTTTAAATATTACTCACGATGTTTGACGAGCAGTCTCGGAATGGGGTCCTGCGGCCAAGCCGCATTTTGCACGACATATAAGCTGATCAGAGTCAAAATCTGCAGCGGTGCGGTCATCCTGGAAACAAATGGCCCTGCAGGATGTCCGGATAAATCAACGGTAACTTTCATGCTTCATCATCGCCGCTACCGATCGTCATTCCTGTAATCATGTAATAGCAACCTGTTAGTCTATGCGTCGCAAAGCTCGCGCATATTATTCTAATAAAATACCTACATACATCTGCATCAGTAAGACAGAAATGTATTAATATTAATTTTCTATAATTTCGCGTGTATTATTCGATACTTGTTGAAGATTCGCGGTAAAACCGTTGATCGCTAGTGACGTCGAAATTTCAGATTATTACGAGAAACAGGCAATTAGAGATATGTACAAACTAGAAGTGTTAACTTTATACTTACTTAAGATTTTATCGATCTATTTCGCGCAATAATACAGAGATAACTGCAAACGTCGACAGACACAACAATGTATATAAATTTCGGATAGCTATTGATTGAAAAGTGGGAGAGGGGGCACATTAGCGCTGGTGTGCGTGTGTAGATGGCTGGATGAGAGTGTGTGTGACGTCAATAAACTGCGGTAGAAAGAGAGTTGGAAAAACTATCGCAAATACATGTGCTGAAGAAAGTCATTGGAGAAATATAATATTGAAAATCGATAAAAGACATAATTTTAAGACAAAGCAGAAATAATAATATACAGCGAGTATAAACGAGTTTAGAATTATAACGAAAACGTGATTAATTAGACAAACAATGTTATCCAAACAACTATAAAACATTCCTACGTTTATGATTCCATTAAAGACATAATTGCAAAATTAAATATTTAAAATCATAATTGTTCTTAATTTTTAAGTTTCTAACATATTAGTAGTTTTTAATTTAACGTTTAGAAGATAGATACTCTGAAAATTTTAAAGAAAGATTTACACAATAAGAGGGGACACATTAGCGTTGGTATACGTGTATAGATGAATACGTGAGAGAGTGTGTGTGAGATGTAAATAAACCGCGGTAGAGAGAGATGGAAAAACTAACGCAAATATATAATATTATGCTGGCGGAAGCCGTTACTTGGAGAAATATAATATTGAGAATCGATAACGAACATATGATTTTAAGACAAAGCAGAAGCGATAATACACAGCGCGAGAATAAAATTCTTGCGTACTTCAAAAACAGAGCGTTCTCCAACGCTAACAGGTTAATCACGACTCATTAGATTATAAAATATTTTAACAGAGTTTGTTCTTTCAACAGTAAAGCGCTTTTTATTGCATTTATTTCACGATTATTGTTTAGTAACATTATTAACGTATTATCGCGCGAGTGCGCCCAAGAGAATATATTACTTTGAGAAAATTGGATTCGCTCGTGTATGCACAATGTTCCGTGTGTACCAGTACTCCAAATTGAACGCATGTATTCTTTGCGGAACGGCGGAAAAAAGAAGAATAGAAAGGAACAGGTCCTTTGTCCCCTTTTCGCCCAGAACTTATATATGCATATCTTCTTGTAGAAGAAAACTACTACTTGGAATAAGTAAAGGAAAGCACGAGGAAGGATAAAAGGCTAACGAAGGAACGGTGGGCGACCACCGACTGCAACGACGACGATGAAGAAGACGACGATGTTATGCATTATGCAGAGAGGTCGCCAGCTCGAGTTTCTATTTGTCCTGGAGCCGTGTACTGCCGTCTACTACCTCGAATACGTTCAAGATTAACGTAGTATCGAATATGTATATTCACGTACATACAAGGTGTTCGTAAAACACATAGTCGCATTTCCGTGGCGTATCGGGACTGAAAAACCCTACTGTCAACATGTATGCATTATGTATCCAAAACGTCTCGCTAACACATTTCGATCACTGACAAGGTTCTCCGCAAGACAAACCAAATTTTAACGCATTTTACGTTAAATTGGATCCACAAAAAGGCAAAAAATGACCAATTTCACTCTTTCATTAACGAAGCGAAAGCATCGAATTACGACAAGTGCAACAATAAATGCTCCCGGATTTCCAATCGAACGAACGAATTTAATGATAGAAATTTAACCTCATATTTTCTGAACACCCCGTGTATAAAGGAAGCCCTTGTAAATGTCTGAAGCGAAATTATCATTCCGCGCTACGCGCAACGCTCGTTTTTCTTCGATTTTACAAATTCACCAAAGTAAACGAAGCAGAGTCCTAATATTCAGTCGCCGCGACGGTTAAATCCCAATTTACTCGAGCGAATTTGTAAGCATCGCAATACTGATTCAAGAGCGTTATAATCAGAACCGACAATAATTGCGTATAATGCTATTAAAATATTAATTAATCTCGGCCGTGTTCAATCGCTTTCCAGTGCGACAATGCGCCGCATTGTTACTTAACATCTGGCGGACAGAGTCATAAATTCATGATCGTCTCGCAGCAGCTGCGCGCCCGAGCGATCTAATAAAATCAGATCATGAATCACGATCCGGCGAAGTCGGGGGAAAAAAAGAAGTGTTACGCCGCGGATCCGTCGTGTTTGCCGTGATGTTTGCAAGAGCAAGAGCACGCCTCGCTAGGCGTGGCTCGCCCTACTTTCGTGAGATACGAGAGACGAGTTGCAGATCGAGAGAGTCACTTCCCTGCAGCGTCTCGTCGCAGCGGCCGTCGCTTTCCGATTCCACGAGTGCCGCGCGCACCGAAAATGAGACTTTCTCTTACATTAGACGGAGCGCGAGCTCCATTGCGCGTTTACACAAACAACGGGAAAGCACTCCGTTCGATCGGCGGATGCTCTCTCGATGTGGAGAAAAAGATCTAATTTTCTACATCCCATACGCGGCTCCGCGATGGTGGATTGCAAACGTGGAAACGTGGAGGGACGACTACGTGATTATAACTCTAATTTCGGAACTTGAGATTATCATATTCATCGCGAAGCAGAAGCGGTACTCCTCTCTCTCTCTCTCT